GGAGTGTTCTATGGTCTGCTGGGGTAATAATATAGTGTAAAGCGCATAGAGCCTGCTGTTGAGCGGGGATATGCGCTATAAAAATGCTATCTATTATTATTATTATTTATTTATTTTTCCAAACAACAAACGGACGTTCATCTCAACATGGGCGTTATTGCTATCAATAGGGAAATGTATTTAATTTTGATTGTCGTAAGAGAGCTTAAGCTCAACCTGACTTTTTCTTGACAATAATCTGTTTTCTGCAATTTTCCAGGCTGAAGAGAAAACTGTTGAGAAGAAGCAAGAGATTTCCATGATTTTCTTCATGGTAAGTGTTATGTAGATGAACTTCTGGGTGGCAGGTGTTCAAGACCTGTTGGTTTTCCACGGTATTTTACGGTTTTCACATGACTTGCAGTTGGTCTATGAATTTATCATGATGGGGTTCAGAAGAAAGGTAGATTGAGAGAGAGAGAGAGAGAGAGAGAGAGAGAGAGAGAGAGAGAGGGGGGGTTTGACAAAGAGAGAGAAAGAGATGTGGATAGAAAGAACGAACGACAGAGAGAATGAAAGGAAGAGCAGAGGAGACACGGAAAAAGAGTTATCGAGAGCGCCTTTTTTAAGAGTAAAAGAGCAGAAAACGACGAGACGTTTGTTGCCCGTTCCTCTATAAAACCACATCATTTCAAAATGGTCAACACACAGTGGTAAAAAAAAAAAATGTATATATACAATCCCTATTGCTATCACTCTTAAAATGCGAGCAAAATGAGAACGCACATTATCACAACACTTGAATTCATTGACTCTGTAAAGAAACAGGATTTTTATAATAGTCTCAGTGCACTCTCTTTCACTTTGAAAAGAAAAAAAAAAGCTCTCATTGTTACGTTTGACAAATAACGTGAAAATATTTCTAGGCATTATACTGAAAAGAGAACACACAAAATTGTAGAGACGCGTTGGTGGAATTTCTGTTTAAGGGTTCCTTAATGTTCGTAGCGTCGTTCGAGAAAACATAGATATAGAATAGAAACGGGTGTAGCTATTGGAAGTGTGGGTACGTGTTTCTTTGTACGTTTTTCAAGCGTGTGCGCCTCTACATCGTAATGTTTAAAGAGCATTGTATCCAGATTCAGACCTCACCTGCAAAGTATTTAAAATTAATTGCCCATGATCTGTTTATGAAGCTAGTTCTCATATTTCACGCATTGGTTTCCCCCCTCCCATGGCACGAAGCTCGTGAGAAACAAAAATGAATAAGCTCGCTGTCAATTGCTGCCTACTGGGGTGTTCCGTAAACACAACTTAATCTTTGCCCAGAACACAGACACTCGTGGAAAGACCAGCCCATAACCTCACGTGTATAATATAATATCTAGATCTATAAAGTAAGCTACACGTGTAGACACATTCTCATATAATATTATCTGTGTGTGAATGTATAAGTAGGTTGGTAGATCCAACTTCGATTTTCTTTCCGGTTGTGTATGTCTGTCTGTCTGTCTGTCTGTCTGTCTGTGTGTCTGTCTGTCTGTCTGTCTGTCTGTGTGTCTGTCTGTCTGTCT